TATTATTGTGATCGACATCCATTTATATTCTAAACAAATGCTTAATTTAGAAATATATGTAAACATGTAAACAAAGCAAATAAACAAAAAAATACTTATCGTTCGGGTACCCGTGATCACCCTCTGTATATGTAAATAGTAAAAAGTAAAAATAAGTCATATACAGTATATAAATATAAGAAAAATTAACAATTTCTTATTAACTTATAAATTTGAATTCTTTTCTATCCAAAATCAAAACATCCTTTACTAAATCTTCCTTTATTTGCTTATTAATTTTTATCTTTTCCTCTTGAAACTTAACTAATTTACTAACTTTTCATCTTTGCTTATAGATAAGAAACGAAAAATATCACTATTTTTATACTCAGCGTAATTATTATATCCTGCTGATAATGGTAAAATCAAATCTCTTTTAATGTATTCTTCTAAATTTTGAGAAAGCTTCAATTCTAATAGAATTAATTCTTTTTGTAATTCGTCATTAATAATAATATTTAATAAATTTTTAATTTTTTTACTTAAAGAATCAAAATAAAGAGTTTTTGTATAAGGAATTAAAATATTAAATTTAGAGGGTCTATATAGAAAAGTAAGATCTTTTCTTTTAATACATTTACTTCTAATTTTATTTTGAATAATAATTTGCGCGTGAAGTTGTTTCAACTTTGATGCATTATTTTCATTTGTTGTATTACCTTCATTTGTAATAATATCTTCATATTCTGATAACATTTCTTTGACGAGAAGATATATAAATCTTTTAGTTTCATCATTTAGTAAATTAAAATTACTTTTTTTCATATATTGAATTAAATCTGCATTTGTTATAGAATTTTTGTTAACAAAAGATTTAATATGTTTTAACCTAATTTTTAAACTAAGGTTTTCTTTTTGTGTAATAAGCTGTTGAATTTGGATATGAATTCATCCAAGTTTAGAAATAGTTATTTGATTTTCTTTAATAAATGAATTAAATTTTGAAGAAGAGTAAGATGAAAGATTATTATTATCTGCGAAACATGAAGAAAGGTAATGTGCTGATTTATCAGCTATCTTTGAAGGTTTTAAATTCTTATTTTCAAAATTATTTTTCAAATTCAAACATTTAATTTCTTTGGTAATCATTTATGCGTGATGCTGTTTCAACTTTCTAGTATTATTTTCATTTGATGACATTTCTTTGATGAGACGATTATCAAACTTTTAGTTTTATCATTTAGTAAATTAAAATTACTTGCTTTCGTATATTGAATTAAATCTGCGCTCATAAAAGAATTTTGCGAACAAAAGATTTAATATGTTTTAACCTAATTTTAAAACCAAGGGTTTCTTTTTGTATGACAAGTTGTTGAAGCTGGATATGAATCTATTCAAGTTTGAAAACAATTTCTTGATTTTCTTGATCAAATGAATTAATTTTTAAAGAAGAGAAGAATGAAAGATTATCATTATCTGAGAAACATGAAGAGAGGTAATATACTGATTCATTATCGGTTGTCTTTAAAGGTTTTAAATTTTCGTTTTCTAAATTATTTTTCAAATTTGAACATTTAATTTTTTCAGTAATCATTTGTGCGTGATGCTATTTTAACTCTGTAGTATTATTTTTATTTGACGACATTTCTTTAATTAGACGATTATCAAACTTTTAGTTTTATTATTTAATAAATTAAAATTACTTGCTTTTGTATATTAAATTAAATCTACGATTGTAAAAGAATTTTCATTAATAAAAGATTTAATATATTTTAACTTAATTTTAAAACCAGGGTTTCTTTTTGTGTAACAAGTTGTTAAAGCTGGATATGAATCCATTTAAGTTTAAAAACAGTTTTTTGATTTTCTTGATCAAATGAATTAATTTTAAAGAAGAGGAGGATGAAAGATTATAATTGTTTGCAAAACATGAAAAGAAGTTATTTGTTGATTCCTCATGACTTAACTTTGAAGGTTTCAAAACGTCATCCTTTAATCCCACATCTTTGATTTCTTTCTTTGATTTAAGAAAATTATTAAAATCTTCTTTAAGATTTCCAACATCTTGATCTTTTTATTTGAACTAATTTCTAAATTTTCAATATGAACTATCAGTTGATCTATTAATTCTGATTGAGACTCAATTTGTTTTTAATACATCTTTCCAATTTTTTCAAATTCGATTAAATTGTTTTTCAAAGTTTCATCTCGTTGTTTGGTATATTCTTGATATAATGTATGTAATTGTAACTTCATTTGATTACCAAATTCTTCAAACCGATTTGCTTGTGTTTCAATTAATTTATAAAGAGGATTGGTCTTTAGTGGAATTTCATTTTCAGATGAAACATTCTGAGGCGTGATATCTCATACGTTCATTATTAAAGGTTATTAGTAAAGGTTGAAGAAGAAAAAATTTTCTCATAAATATTTTTTAATTTCATTGGTGGAAAAGCATCCGGTTAATAAACTAAAATCAAAAAACAAAAATGCATTGAAAATCTTAAAAAATTCCCAGTGCCATTTTTGATAAAAGTGAAAATTGCCACCCAAACGGATATACGATAAAAAAAAAAAAGTTTGATCGGTTCTCGTATTTTATCAGATGAAGATTCATCTAATTTGGGTTAAATTGGGTGATTTTTGGGGGTTTTTTTCGGATAAACTTTTATTCTTATCAATTCATCTGACATGTGAAATATAAATTTTGTAACTTATTGTATTACAAAAAATTCGGAGCAAAATTTTATTACTATGATTTACATCATAAAATTAGTTTTTAATCCTTGCGGTTAATTTGATATCATTTAGTATCTGTAGTGGTTGACAAAAGGGATCTTTTTACATTGTTGCAGTATTATTGGTTGTATTTTCATCTATATTTTCAAATCGTAGATGCATTATAAAATAGTTGCTTTTTTATTGAATCAAGCAATTCGTCTTCTATAAATATTTAAGATTTCTTTATAGTAGGTTATTCAAAAGTATAATTCGCCTAAAAATAAAGATTTGTTTAATTATAAACTTAACATAGGAAAGCAAATAATGAACTTCTCTTCATAATTTTAAGTAAACATCATAAAATCACACGATAATATCGTTATTGTGCTTGCGTTGATAAATAATTTTGATATTACCGTATTCTTCCGAAAATAAGCAACACCTTTTTGTTATAGTGTTGCTTATTTTCAGGTAGTTTAATAAAACGAAAGAAATTTGATCGCGTAACTATCAAATCATATGATTTTTGATGATCGAATTTCATTCA